TTGACAAAAAAGAACTGAATCCAAATGTAAGAAAAATAATAATACATTTTATTATTGGGATAATTTTTGGCAAATCTTGAGGCAGCCCTCCTCTTTGACACACACCCTGAAATGCCATCCTGCACCCAAGAATGGGAACCCTGCTTTAGGGGAAGGCCAAAAGCAGATCTCGAAGGCAGTAGCTTTCCCTTCTTGCTTTTTTCCTCCGCATCTGAGAGAGGGGCAGAACTCAGTGGGAAAAGACCTGCTCGGCATGCAAAAAATCCCAGGTTGGATCCCCAGCATCTTCTGGTTGAGCTGCAGAAGAGCGCTGCCTGAGCACAAGAGACTCTGACAGTTCTCATGGATGGGGGTGGTGAACTTTAGACTACAAGTCTCATCACCCCCAACTGGGGTTGATAGGAATTGAGACTCCAGAAATACTTGGTGGGCTAAATGATATTCATCAATGGTATAATCAGTAGTGAGCTAGAGGGACCAATATCCTGACTTGCTGTTCTATTGAAGTTGATGCGTTCCAGATTCTGTGTGTGCCATCTGACATCTCTCTTGCTTGGCGTTTGGTCTGGACAGCACAAGCTCTGATGTCATTCTGTTCTGCTTAAAGTACTTTATAGCATATTCCTTTCTTGGCCAAGTCAACTTGACTGAGGAGTGTTGATAAAGCTGGAATTTATTAATATATTATCTATTAGATGTATATCCCACCTTCTTTCCTTCCAAGGGACTGGGGGCAGCTAACATAATTCTCACAACAACAACCCTGTGAGGTAGGTTGGGCTGAGCATCTATGCCTGGTCCTAAGTCACCTAGTGAGCCCCATGACTGAGCATGGACTAGAACCCAGATCTCCCGAGTCCCAGTCCTGCGCTCTTAAACCACTGCAACACACTGGCTCCGTAATGTCCCTTGAAGAAATGCTACTCAAGTCGGTTCCCTGATGACAGGTAGCTCCTTTAGTGGCCTGACAGTGTGCAGTGAAAGGCCAGCTGCGGTCATCTCTTCCCAATCTTCACAAGTGAGGCAACAGTGCTAGGTGGCCTCCACTTCTGCTTCAGAATAGCTTGGCAATTACTGCAGTGCTTGGAGCATTTGGCTAATTTTAAATGCTGAGTAGACAAGCAAACAGCTAAAAAGTCTTAGAGAGCTTAACTGTTTCCCTTTCATCTGATCCTAGTTGCTGGGAGTGGGTTGCTGAATGAACTGATTTTCTATTTGGACACTTGCAGGTTTCACTCTGGCTCTGCTTGTAACATAGTAGTTGTAGTTGACGTCTTGCTCCGGGGCTTCGTTTTCCCAACGCTCCAGAGCTCTGTACATGGTGCTGTGCTTCTAATGTGTAAGGTTGCTAGCCTCCCATTCTGGAGCCTTCTTTCTAGAAATCACCAACTGTGGTAGAACATTTTTGTAGCATATCGGAGTTCCTGGGCATTGTGAAGGTAGAACGTCCTGCCAGCACTACTTTTTTAGCTGACTCTTCCCCTCTGCAGTGCAGCCATGGGAGAGGCTGATTTCTTGAATGATGGCAGTTATGGCTTTAAGAAACCAGAGAATGATGTAATATGGCCCGAATAATATGGAATATTATAATATGGAAGGATAGTGTGTGCCACATGGTAGAGAATGTATTACAAAAGGCACATTAAGGTTGTGGTTGTGAAACAGAGAGCAGAACCTTAGGACCAGGGGATGAATCTGGCCTCCAGGTTTCCTCATGCAGCCCTCTGGGGTTCTCAAGATAAACACCCACCCTTTATCCTGCTCATCAAGCATTTGTTTCCCAGCCTTTGTGCAGTTCTTCTACAGATTTCCCACCAGTTGAAAAGATTGGAATGTTTCTCCTAAAGCATATTCTCTGGCACTGTGAGTTGTAAGTTAAACTCTGCAGGTACTTTCATTTCATTTCATTTCATTTCATTTCATTTCATCCAAGCCTCTTTGTCTTTGCTCCATCCACCACTGGTAAACAGCCTCCCAGAGGGTCTCCAAATTGAAGTTGATCCCTGGCTGGAAGACTTCTTGTTCAGGAGCACAGGCTTTTAGAAATGGGAATGTGCTCATTCGCACCTGGTGAACTCCCTTCTCTATGTTAAGCAACTGGACCAGCCAGTTTGCAGGGCTGTCTTCAGTCATGAGAGCCTACTTCATTTTAGAGGCCCTCTTTTGCCTTTGTAAGCCCATTTTTGTGTCCTCTTTCCAAGTGAAATAAAATGGGTGGTGGCAGAGAAGGACATTTTCCTCTCCAAGGAAGCTTGTCTGATACAAATCTGGATTCCATTATAATGCCAGGAGAACAGCTTTTAATTTGCCTGGGTGCTCTTCATGCCGTGCAATCTGCTAACTACGCTCTGTTCTGGTGAATTTCATTGCTTTGTTTTGCTGACTTTTCTGTGAGTTTTGAGTTTGCAGTAATTTTTTAACGACACGTGCCAATATTACCATGCTTTTCTTACAATATTATAAGAGACTTATAGGATGGTTTTCAAGGCACAGTGGCAAACTGTGGGATTTGCTGCAATACAAGTTGTGTGCAAGCTGTTTTTGCATACTGTAAACAGCCTTCCATCAGAAGGGCTTGTTAGGGGTTACACTGAGCAGGGGCTAACCCACAAACAAACCATGGGTTAGCTACTGGGTTATTGAGCCCTTAAATAACTCAACTGATTTGGGTTAGCATGTCACAGGACAACTTCCAGTTGTGCTGATAGGAATTGCTTACAGATACTGGAAAGGACTCACAGGGAAATCGTAGGTTAAGTAACCCACAGTTTGCTGCCATTACATGTCAGCCAGGTCATACTAAAGGCTGGTATCCAAATCATTTTGATGAGTGCTTTTTAAACGTGTCAAATAATTTAGGAGTTGGTCTTCCCTCATGACTAAGCTTTTGGCAGCTTTGCTCCTTTCCTCTTATACAGGATCACATTTTATAATATCACATTGTTACAGCACATTGTGGGCACTTCTACTTTTGTTTGTTTTTATTGGAGGCACCAAAACTTCAGAGCAGGCTATCCTTTACAATGTTAATACATAATCTAGTTTCTTAAAACAAACAAACAAAATGTTTAGTATATTACTGCAAAATAGAGTATCATGGCAAACAATTGCTGCTTGTGCTAGTTTTCCGTTTGGAGAAAGGGTAATTTATAATAATTATCATAACTAATGATAATTGTGGAGGTGCATTCAGCAGAGGTGTCCTCTCTTGTATGCTTAAATGGTGCAGCCTGTTCCGACCATTCATTCTTTCCCAGCTTGGCCTGGGGAAGGCTGGAGTAAGCTTTTGTCAAACGGTGAATTTGCGGGTGAGTGCATCTATTTCCAGGGACATAGGTAAAATATCCTTGCCAACAGTTGACCAACTATGCTTTATGAATTTTGCTACATATTTTTACAGATTTTCCCCCTGTATACCCAACCTTTCCAAGTTTCCAGATGAAACAATAATTTTTAACTTTGCACTTTCATTATCCAAGAATGTTTTCCTTAGCTCTCCAGAGAGTTCCAAATTGAATTCCTGAGCAAAATTCCACAGTAAATAAAATGAAAATACTGCAGTTCTTTTGTTGTCTTCCTGGTGTAGACTTGCTTGGTTACTCTCCTGGGCTGAGACTGTTGTTGCTTTAATTCTTTGCAAAGTGAAGTAGGAATGGCTTTGCATGAGCTCTTGAAAGAGAATGTTATTATTGACTGTGAGCATTTCAACTGATCATTTGTTGTTTCCGCGCTGTGTTTAGGAAAGGAAATGTAAATACAGTCAGCAATTCCATGTCCTCTTATTTGGGACTAAGTCCCATTTATTTCATTTTTATCAAAAGTGAATGATGACTGAATAAATTGGCTGTGTTTGAATGGTTCTGTTCATGTGTTCAGTGGCTTGACCAACTGAAGTTAAAAAAACTGCAAATTTAAAATATTCCCTGGAGTCATTTTGTGCAGTATATAGTTACAAAAACTTGAAGAGGATCCACCTCCCATGAACACGCACACCTCCATGAACAAGGCAAATAAAGAAATATTATGTTGTTACCCACATTGTGAAATAAGAGGGGAGACAACAATCTATTTTTGTTTTTGTTAATCCTCAATGTTAGGTGAAACAAATGAATAGGATGATCCAGTTTTTGGTTTTGTGTTGATTTTGTTTCTGTGCCACTTGCCAGGCTCCCAAATTTCAAGGTAGTTTTCTCCTCATCCTCCAGCCCTGTAAAGTGGGTCACTATTCACTTTGTTCCCCTTTTAGAAATGAGTAATTTGTTCAAGGCTTATAAAGGGGTTGAAAATAACCGAGATACTTATTCTCAAGGCTGCAGGGTATTCTCTCAAGACTTCTGCAGGTGTAACATGGTAAGTCTTCCTGCCCTGATGAAAAGCTGGTAACCTTGCATGTGGTTGAAGCTAATGAGCAGATGACTTGCCCTCAAACGTTCTCATTTGCCAGATGTGCCCAGCAGTGTAAGATAGTGCAGTTAAGGGAGGAAATGGTACAAGCAGGGATTTGAGGCACCTTTGTGTGACGATTAAGCGTTCATGCTGCTCATAACTCTTCCCGGCACACTTTCCCCCCTCTGACAGCATACTTTCTACTCCTAGTTTGCAAGCTTTGAGCATAACAAAATGGACCCCCTCTGCATTGGAATAGCAATAGCATTTAAAAGGTTGATTAATTGGGGGTGTTCAGTGACTTCAAGGGAGCATTTTTCTAGTCCTCCTTACAACGCACGAGTTATTTTCTGTAGACTGGGAGATTTTCAGTAATCTTCTGCACCACCTAGTGGCCGCTTTTAAAGGTCGGTTAAAAACAGCAGTTTTACTTCGTAAAAGACTTTCATTTTGGCAAACTGAATACGGCCAATACTATATTGTAGGAATATAGAATACAGTGGTGGCTAATGCTAAGAACTTGGAAAAGGTACACCTAATCGAACAGGGAAAAAGTAGTGAATTTAGGATAAATTTATTCTTAGTACTAGGTAGTATTGGTGCGTTAAAAGCAAGGTTCCAAAAATTGCACCTCATTGGGGCGGTAAAACCCCAGGGATGCCTTTGTGTTGTGTAGGTGTTAGCAGTACTGCTCTCACTATACGTTCATTGAACAGTAGCGCAACCCCAAGATAAGGACGGCTGCTAACAAAGTGAAACGACAATCTGGGGATATGGACGGGAAGCCTATTGAGGTCACAGCGAGCTTGTTTTGGGTGGCCGCAGTTTGCTTATTTAGACTGCTTCATTTGGAAGATCGCCCAACTCTGGAAGGTTCCTTATACGTAACGCCTTGCAAAAAATGCTGCTTTATCGTTACTATTTTGCGATTTAAGATCCTACCTACAATGCACCGCGGCGCTCGGTCTGATAATTTGCATAGAGGGCGGGAGGAAAGGGGGAAGGCGCTTCTTTAGCGGGGAGGCACGCCGTTTGCTTCCGCTTGTGAGGAGGAAGTAGTAGCAGCGGCCTCTAGGAGGAGTTTTCAGGGTTGCCGGCGAATTTTAAAGTGACATCCCATCTTTCGAAGCAACGTCTTTATTTGGTTTTGAATGAACAAGTAGAAGAAATCATAAACTGGATCTGATAGCGAAATCTCCCCCCACACCTCATGTTAAGTGGAACTTGCTCCCATTTAAAAGTGAGCCGCTTGCGTGGAAGCAAATTCCATCGAACACAGTGGGGTTTCCTTCCGAGTAAAAATGCATGGGATTGGCCGGTAAAATACTTCTGTGCAGCCGCTGCAGGGAAGCATCAGGACACGTCTGCATAACTGTGGAATAGTTGATGTTTTCTAAATAAAATGTTAGGTTCACTTCATGTTAGCAGAATTTTTTGCAAGCTTTATAGCGCTCTTCCCCAACCGCGTTGATTCCAGATGCATTGCTTTATTTCTTTCAGCTTCACTAGTTGGAAGATGCGGGCAGTGGTAGTCTAAAGCAGTGTTCGCGAGGGCCCTTGGGCAGCGCCCCCTCAGTGGGTGCCCCTCCATTGCAGTTGTTCGACCCCTTGCTGCTCCTTGCTTGCTTGAGCAACCAGAGGGTGGCATCTACTGTTTTTCCTGTGGTTCTCTCAGTCTGCACAAGAAGCTGTGAACAAAAGAAGGGGGGGGGGTTGTTGTTCAAGGGGCAGTTGTTAGTTGGTCCCACACCAGTCTGGAGCATCAGACTGGAGACCACAGCAATATTAAGTGTCTATTAATACTTCAAATTGTTATTATTTATTAAATTTCTACCCCACCCAATAGCTAGGATGACTATTTGGGTGGTGTACAAAATTAAATAACATACACAATACAACTGTTGTGTTAAGTATTAATATTGAAATCTACTTTCTTTGTTTGATATCACATACACCCATGAAACCTATATATGGATGAAACATATATAAATATATACGGGAGCATTGTGAACTACCTAGAAACTGGTGGAGGGATTGTGTACTTATTGCCCCTGCAAAATTCCTGATTTTGGCAATTTTCATTTCTACAGCAATCTAGTAAGACACGGTTAACGATACTCTTTAGCTCTGTTTGACCTTCTGGGAAGACTTTGGGAGAGATTCCATGGAGAGGGAGGAAAAGAGTTGTGCTGTGAACTTTGCTTCTGCTTGTGCACTTCAGAATTGCATACACTGAGTTTAAGGTTATACACAAGTTTGCTTATTATGAACAACTGCTGAGCTCACAAAATAATTCTACGAGAGTTTGATTGGTCTGTCCATTATTCCCAAATGTCAAAAACATAATTCTTGTTTATGCCAAAAATATTGTTTATAGTTGTGCTGACATGTATTTTTCACTGTATGTGGATATATCTAAACTAATGCATGTTATGACATGAGTTATTGAGGTGTTACATTGGCCTGGTTTGGATGCTCGATTCAGCAGCCAGAACTAAGATGAAACTACAGAGGCCCTCCTTGCTCTTCCATTCTTTCCTCCCTTTGTACTTATGCCCTCGTTTATTTAAGCTGCAATTAGTGGGCCTATTTGAAATGGGGAACTACTTTTCAGTGTCACAATCACTACCCTGGGTATTAAGTATGATACTTTAGTGCTGAGGGGCAATGAGGGAATGCCTGGTTTTATTTCTCGGGACGTACCTTCTTGATCTGAAGATGCGGTATGTGTGATGTTTTTTGCAAGTGACGGCAGTGGCAACTGACCATGCAGAATGTGGATCAGTTTGGGGTTGTAAAGAAGCAATGTCAAGGTTGCAACACTGAACTTGGAGTGATCATAATGAATATAGTGGCGCTTATGTCCCTGCAAATGTCTATAGGATCTTGCAGCACATTGGTTCATGTGCACCTTACTGTATAGATTAGTTTCATTTATTTCAGTGAACATTTGTATGAATAATCACTTTATCTACACTCTGTATGAACCTGGAAGAGCTCCATTACTAGGAAATGAAACATCATTTTGGGGGTATTTTAATTAAAAAAAATCCTTGCCAGGAGTTGTGAATAGCAGGGAGCTACACTCTTATGCTTTCCTGTCTATGTTTGTTTTTTAATATTTGAAATTGTGACAGGCATCCTTTCTCTTATAATGCCAGGGCAGTTTATAGATGTGATTTTAAACAATCTGAATAAAGCCACAGGAAAAAAGAGAGGCGAGGCATAAAATAGACAGCAACATCGTCTAGCTTCATAAACCAATTTAAAATGCCTTGGCAAGCAAATAGGTTTGAGTGAGTACTGAAAAGAGTACAATACTAGTGTCAGTCGCACCTCCTTGTGTCAGATGCACTCCATCAGTGATGTCCCACCCATGCTCCACAGCAGAAGGAGCTTTTCCTCCTTGCCGTTACATAATGCATCATGAGTACTTGGAGAAGAGCCTCCCCTGAAGCTCTTAAGGCAAAGGCAGGCAGTTAATGGGCAGCAAAGAAATCAAATCAATAAGTACCTTCAGAGATACTGGCCACAAGTCACTTAAAGCTGAAAAGTAAGCACTAGCACCTTCAATTAGGCTCAGAACCAAATACCAACCCATGTAGGGTTGTCTGCTTGCTTGCTTGTTTTTGAATAGTGAGATTTCTCTCCATTTGGCTGTGTTGGTTACAGCCCTGGCTACCGTGTTCTGCACTAGCCAAAGCTTTGAAGTCTTCAGGGACATTGCCTCTAACTCATGCGTGTTCAGTCTGCAAATTCACTTTGCACTTAGCTTACAGATTAACTGCTTCTGTGTCTTTGTTTGTTTGTTTGTTTGCAGGTTGTCCTGCTGGGCTTGGACATCTTATCTGCACTGGTATCACGGCTCCAGGATAGATTTAAAGCCCAGATTGGCACAGGTGAGTTCATTGGGACCAGAAACAAAAAGCCTGCGGTGCTTGATTGTGTGCTGTTCTCTTTGGTGTGCGTTATCTGAGGCTGAAGCAGGGGGCCAGCCATGCAAGCCAGCCTGCAGCTACTGTTCTTAAATTGTCTTAATTCTAAAGAAGCTGCCGTTTGCCACAAATATGCCTTGGAAGTCTGAGATTTGGTTGTCTGCATGGACACCTGGAAATAATCTTTGCATTGCAATGGTGTCGACAGACTCTGAAATAAGACCTGCAACTCTGCATTTGGCTTCCAGTTGACTGTTTGGCCAACCTTTCTATAGTATGTGATGTGTTCCCTGGGTTTTACAGCCATATGCTTGGTAATCTTCCTTAGCAGCTAAGAAACTGTGCATGTGGATGCATCTGGGGGTGTTTCTGTCTCCATTCATTATGGGAGACAAAGGCCAAAAACCAAAGAGATCTGTGTCCCTTAGAGGGTGGGTTGATGGAGAAACAGGGCAGGAGATGCTGCGGCTACATTCTCCTTTAAGACTTACGTGTTGTGAAAGAGGCAGAAGAGTTGCAGCTTGACAACCCTACTAGAAATTGTGTTTCACATTCCCTTGTTTTCAAGCTTATTTTCACAGCCAAAAGACTTGAAAATAGTCCTTTTCTTATACAAAAATGGGAATTGACACTCTCAGATCTTAAAGTCTCTGATCTCATTGTTTGCACTGAACAGTGGCGTGTGCCCAAACCGCCTGGGTAATCCCTTTCAATGGAGCAGATCATGAACCTGGCACTGTGCAAGGCCTTGCCCTGTATATGCAAGACCTGCTTCTTTGCAGCACGTGGGCCATGAATAAAGCCTGCCCTGTGTAAGCTTTCCAGGTGTGCTTGGATACACTTAGATGCACCTGCTGCGTATGCTGGTTTCTTCCCTTGTTCTCTTACTTGGCCCCTGTTGTTCCATGTGGATGGTTTAATTCATGTGGTAAGTACATTTAAATGTGACCAACCTTTCTTGGAACGGTCATGAAGATAAAATCATGTTGGTTTTGGTGTATGTATACATTGACGATGCTCTTGTTCTTAGCATTTTGCTCAAGGTAAGCATCTATTCCTTCTGCATGAATAGCTTCTATGACCTAACTTTCAAGTCACCTTGAGACATGTGTGAGGGTTTACATGGTGGGGGTGGGTAGCATTTTTGTAACATCTGTATTTCTTGCTCTGTCTCCTGATAGCGTCTCTTCTCATCGGTCTTCTCCCCCCCCCCCCCCCCGCCCCTCTCCAGTGCTACCTAGTTTAATTGACAGGCTGGGAGATTCAAAAGACTCTGTGAGAGAGCAGGATCAGGCACTGTTGCTAAAAATCATGGAGCAAGCTGCTAACCCTCAGGTGAGTCCTTCAAAATCTGTAGCTTTGCCATACAAGCAAGTGGTTCCAGGGTTTGGGAAATCATTTTTTTTTTAATTGTGACCATTTAATTAACTCTCCTTTTCAAATAACCTGGGCGTTTCCTTTGCATCAAATGTCACCTTCTACATTTATCTTATTTGAATAAGATAAAAGAGAGCAGCAGTATTTTTCTCAACACTAATGGGGAAATAGGGGCAAACCGGAGGAAAAGCGTTGTGAATGTCTTGTAGGATGGGTGCTGCAGATTGAAATAAGGTTGAATGCTGAAGTGACCAGAGGAATTGTAATGCAGAATCTTTGCAAGATCTGAAAGAAGCTAGGGAATGCATGAAGCCCTGTGTATTTATTTTGAATAAACTTTCTGATCATTGTGCTATAAAAATCCTTAAAATAAATGAGCTGTGTCTTATCAAGAGATGCTTGCTCTCATTGATTTCTCCTATTAAGTCTGTAGTCCTCTGCACACTTACTTGGAAGTAAGCACTATTGAAATCCATACATAAACTTGCAGAGGGTTATTTTGTCAACCTGGTGGGCGAAGGATGCAAGGTTGCTTAAGCTCCCACTGCTGTGCTCTATGATTTGGGCTAATTGTTCAGTGTTCTGCAATGAGGTTGTCCAGATATAACTGCCACAAATCACAGGTCAAGCCACAGTGTCTGCATGTTCTGAAGCTGTTTTGAATATTCTGCCCCCAGTTTGGGGTTTTGGGGTTTTTGCCTGGTTTAAGCTTGCTGTTTCCTGTTCATGGGATGTCCTAACTGCATTGTAAAGACATCTTTTATCAGTATAGTAAATCCTAACTATATGAGAGAGATTCAGATGCCTTTTTGTGAGTGGATGTTCAGGGCACATCATTCTGAATGGTCAGGCAGCAAGTAATTAAAGGCAATATGAGAAGTGGCTGCAAACCCCACCTACTCAGTCAATAAAAATATCTTTTGAATGATTTTAGTAATGGACTTCGCACCCTTACCTTTATCATTGGGCATTCGCTTGCTTCCCTGCATGCATTTACACTCCTTCAGGGACCACAGATTATTCAGAATGAAGAAATGTAAAATTGGATGGGGTCTGGGTCATGTTTTTCTCTTTATTTCCTTGTATCTTTGTCACAGTATGTGTGGGACAGGATCTTGGGAGGATTCAAACACAAGAATTTCCGGACAAGAGAAGGAATTTGCCTCTGCCTTATTGCAACGCTCAATGCGTAAGTTGGACCTGACCGTATATTTTGATATCTGCATTCAGAATTTTATATTTTTAATACTCAATCCATTTTTTCTTTCTTTCCTCCACCTTCTGCCCTCCCTCCATCTGTTTTAGATCTGGAGCTCAGAGTTTAACACTGAGTAAGATTGTGCCACATATATGTAATTTACTTGGAGATCCAAACAGCCAGGTAAGATAACGGTGGTGGATAAGGTTTAGGGTTTTTAAATTCAAACTTATTTGAATTTAGGAGATAGAGGTACATTACATGCTGGAAATATATAAGGCTGGGAAAGTTTTAATGCTTTGGTTGGCAGAGTTGTGGTATAATAAATGTTGAAATGGTTCATCTGTTGAACTTGGAACATGATATTTGCTCTTGTTCTGATGTTACAGTGCCAGTCTTGGACGTACTGTATGAATGAAGCTTCAGTTACCTTCAGTGAAGATTTAATTTCATATCTGCGTGCTGTACAAGTTTGGCTTCTACTGGGAATGAATGGAGGCAAATGGAAACACATTTCCCTTGGGGGAAAGCACAGCTTTCCCACTTACCTGTAGTGCCGTAAAACTTGCTACAAGTATTTTATGGGGCAATGTTGAGTGAGATCACAGTAGTAGGAGGGCTTATCATGTAAACTGTGTTACAGGGTCCAGAATACTAAAGCTGCATACTGGGGCAGAGAAGAGGAGCTCATCAGGGAACAAACTCCAAAGACCACCTTCCCCAGGTGGGTGTCCTGCAGATGTGTTGGACGACAACTCCCAGCATCCCTCAGCCAGCCATGCTGGGAATTGTAATGCAGCACATCTGGAAGGCACTGGGTGAGGAAGACTGCTTTCCAGTGAAGTCTTCAAATCGCAGGGTCTACCCCCATACTGAGATGAGGTGAATGTGGTTTTGTGAAGTCAGTACGTGCAGGAAGGATGCAAGTTATTATACTGCAGTGTGGATAATATAGCACATATTATGTATTCTGCAACATCCAAAAAGTATGTACATATGAGTGGCATAGTTTATTCTGCATCTGCAGATAATGCGAGGTAATAAAGGAGCTACACACAAATTCTGCTTTCTTGCTCTCCTTCCTGAATGCTTAACCACAGACCTTTAACAGAGAGAGAGATCATGTTACATGTTGTTCACATGCTTTTTTCTTATCCTTTTGGGCTAAAGACACACACATTTATACAAAAAGAAAGCTGAGATACTTGGGATGCCAAGCACTGTGCCCAACTTCAGTTCCATGCCTGATGTGGAGACTGGGGCTACAATAGGCAGCTACTTTTGAATCTGTTTTTTTGGCCAAACTGGCCAAAGTCCAGCATTTCATTGAAGGAGCAAGCATAAGCTGGCACCTGTTGATTAGCTAACCAACTCTTGCCCCTGGAAGTGTGTATGCTTTCAAGCTTCACAGAGCTCTTCCTTACGAAGGATGTTGAGGAGTCTGTAAAGCACTCTCTGACCTCTGCCAAGGGGCATGAATCTCCTGCCTCTCAGGAACCATGTTGGTTGCTTCCATCAGCCAGGGAAAAGCAGCTGTGTATCACACAGCCCCCCCTTACATCCTCTGTGGAGAACTGTAGCATGTTCTGGGTTGGGCTGCCTGTGGAAAATACTCGGGAACTTCAGCAGATCCAGAATGCTGCAGCCAGACTGTTGACTGTAGCTGATTACAGGAAGCATTGAGCTCCCTTTTTGAACAGCTCCACTGCTACTGCTCTGTCTCTGGGAAGAATCCAAACTGCTCATTAGGACCTGTAAAGCCTTGCATGGTTTGGAACCAGCAACCCGAGAGGCCACAGCCCCTCATACAAGCCCGGTCAGTTCGTGGAGAGGCCTCTCTTTCCAGACTGCTGCCTTCAGAGGTGTGTCTGGCAACCATATAGTGGGCCTTCTTCGGTATCCATTCCCAGGCTACGGAATCCCCTCCCAAAGGAGGCTGGTTAACTCCCTCCATTTGGAGACAAAGGCTGCTTTGAAATGGCCTGTAAGTGGGTTTGATGGAAGGCAGGGAGTTGTTTTTAATAAATTTGTTTTTTGTGATCATTACGCTTGGGTTGCATTTTGATGTATTTTTAATCACTTTTAGTTGGTTCTGCAAGCTGCCTTGAGTGCCATATTTTTGGAAGAAGGAGTGATATAAATAGAATGAATACCACTTAAATAGTACACATGCTTGCATTTCTTCTCCATTCCTTTCCCCCTTTGTATTGGTTTTTTGTTAGATTGTGGGCACCTGAGCAGGGCCTATTTCTGACTTTTCAGTGCTTAGAAAAAGTTAAGTGCTGCCACTTAAGGATAATAATAGAGGATATACACATGCCTCTTCTCCCTTGGGTGGTAGCCTAATATCAGACAGGTGGCCTATTTTGTGCCCCCCCCCCCCGCACCTTTTCTCTCTTTCTTTTTTTGGAATGAACAGAGCAATAGGTGTTTTTCCCAGCAATGTGAATTTTCTTATGGGCAAGGCCTTCTGTGCCTCAGTCCCATATGATGCCTTTTATACCATTTCCCCAGAAAATTGTATTATTTTCCCAGTATTATTGTTTTCTTACTATTGCCAATAATGCCAAGAGATCATAACATCTCGGATTTCTATACTGTGGGAAATTACCACTTCATGTTAATTAAATCAGTGATCTACCAATTTAACACATGGGCAATTCTTTTAGCAGGGGTTATGGTTGGCCTTTGCTGGATGGGGGGGATGGGGGGGCACAGAATCTTGTCAGATCTTGGGTATCTCTCTGTCACAGCCTTTTCTGTTCTAGGGCTCTGACATCCGAACTGCAGAGCCAGGACTGTGAGTCAGCACTGCCCCCTGTTGGTTGAAAGTAGAAAGCAGCATTGGCTTAAAATTGAATTAGGTTTGGGCTTTTCTTTGCATGAGGACATGCTTTGGCCATTAGTAAGACAATGGACCAAATCTGAAATGACCTACTGAAATACTTTGATATTATATTTGTTTGCTTTATAAAATGTATATGTCCCTTTAAATCTGATGAGATCCCTGAGAAACTAGCAATTAAAAGAATAAAACTACAGAATAAAAATATTTTAAATCACAGTGTGCCAATGAACCAGGGGCTGGTTGCTCAGGGAAGTCTTGTTTTAAATAATAATACCTTTAGCAGGTGCAAAAGACAAAGTTGACACCTTCCTGGCATCAGAATAGGCAGGGAGATCCACAGAGAAGGAGCTGTACTCCAAGTGGATGCCAAAAACAAATAAATAGTATAATGAATAAATATTAAAATCCTGAAATTTGTTTCCGATTCTCCTTAGTCAAGTTTAATATAAGCATAATGTGATGACTAATGGAGGGGAAATCCCAACATACTTTCTTCACAATCATCTTGGGAGACTATCCAGTGAGAAGAAATGAAACAAATATCACACAGGTTCACTAACAGTGCAGATTATGCAGTTTGGTTGTATGAAGGAAACACTGGTAAAACATATGCAACTTATTAGAAGCTGTTGCTGTTACCGATCTCAGAAAATGCAATGGTGCATCCTTCTGTACACAGGCGCTCCATTTACATGACTCCTTACCAATGTGTGGACATCCAGGGGTGGCTCCAGTAACTTGGTTCACAAATACGGCAACCTGTAATCTTTCTAGCTTCAGAGCTACCTTTCTGGCATTGTGGGTAAACCAGTTTGCTATTGTTGAGTGGAGGAAATGTGAAACCCAACATTCATAGCTTGCTGTCGGTAGTTGGTAGAATGCTGAAGGGCAGCCATAGAGAGCCAGATTCCAGAACCTTGCCAATGAGCGGTTGCACTTAGATAGTGACAGTTGAAGGAGCAGGGGTGAGTCTTTCGTGGGGAGGCTGCACAAAGCACCTTTCCACATGCACGGCCTGCCACATGCTCCGTCCCTTCCCTTAGATGCCTTGAGATTTGGACCATCCTATTGGCTTGCAGCATGGTGCTTGTCCTTTATCTGTTGTTGCCTTGGAGATGGGATGGCCTGGTGCCATGCTGAATCATGGGGCTGGAAGAAGAGGAGTGTGGGCAAGCTGGGTTGGGACGGTGAGGAGAGGTTGAATAAGGAAGGCTGATGGGATGGATGTGGATTTGGCCTGTGGGGAATGAAGAAGGATGACAGGTTGCTTAGCAAACATTGCACTGTTGCAAAGAAGGAAGCCAGGGGTCTTTGGCCTAGAAGTTCTGCTTATGTGGTCTGAAATGCTTGAGTGTGAATTTTGGTCTTTAATCTGATTTTAAAAACAGCACTCAAAAGGAGGTAGCCACAGGCTGTCTAAGCTCACAGTCACTAAAATTATTCCTTTCTTAAGACCAGTTAATGGTCACAGAGAAGAATACAAGTGTTCTAGTCACCAGCAACTCTTAATTGCAAGTGAATTTTAAACTCTCAAAAGTAAGGGTGAAAGGAAGACTAGATGATCCAGGTTCAAGACTTGAGTCTAGGGTGGGATGCTGAATTTGGGACTTGATGTATGTTAAGCAGGAATTCACGCTGCCAAATCACTAAGCTCTGTCCAAAAGAAGAAGAAAGACCAGCAAGGAAACACCTTTCAAACAGTAGCCTAGAATAGAGCTGCCGAGTCTTTCTCCAGGCTTCCTTGCCCACCTTCAGTTCCTTGGAGGAGAAAAAGTGAGATAGAAATATAATAAATAAATAGCCAACCACTGCAGTTCTTGGCATAGATGGCCTTCACTTCTGTTTTGCTTTGTTTTTCATTCACTTTGTGCACTAGTGATCCATTCCCAATCTGGGACCCTGGAGCTATGTGTAAGATGGAGAATGTTCAGGTTTTTTTCCTGCCCTCTAATACAAACTTTTATCAAGACTATCAAAAAGCTTGCTGTAACCATGAGGGTTGGAAGGCTGCTTTGCTTTGCTTAAAGCAGCCTTGTAAACAAGCACAGAGAAATTACTGTTACTTTTTTGTAACAGCCTGATCTACCTAACTTAGAGCACAATCCCTCCTGCAACGGCTCGCTCCATTTTGGGATTGTGTGTTTTCAGCCTTTTCCCAGTTCACTCAGTTTCTACACGTAGCTCAGAGGTGCTCCATTCATCCTCCATCAGCTGGTTCACTCACTGGCTTGGTTTTACTTGTCACCTTCAGCTACCAGGCTACTGTTTAATCCAAGGCAATTTTGCAGTTGGGACATTCAGACTTTTGTTGTATGTCCTGGAGTCCGTGTTGGTAGTCAGATAAAGTCAATCGTGATGTGATCACTTTTGCAAAGAAAAATCTACAGTTCTGCTTGTATTTTTAATCTGCTTCAGTGGTGGCCAAAGTGCTTCTGCTTTGGAAAGCTCGGAAGAGATTGTCTGGGGAGAATAAGTCCTGTAGTCGAACACATCTGGAGATCCCTGGGTTGGGGAAAGCTGCCTTAGAGAAATGCCCGGCCTGGCTTACTCATGCTGATGAGCTGCTTTTACCTCACTCCGGCATGTGGGATTGTTTGGTGAAAGCTTGGAATAAACTAAACTAGATGGAGTCATCCTGCAGTTGTTTTATGAGCTATTGTTGCTCTGAATAGCATGCAACTGACATTCAGGAAACAGCTTCAGGCTCTTTCTACACACAGTCCAACTTGTGCTTTCTCAAAGATGTGCCATACGCTGGGGAGATAATTTGGAAAGTATCCCATTGCTTTGGCATGGTTCACAAGTAACCCTAAGCCAGTGTTCAGCACTATGGGAACAAGGTAGTACAAGTCCAGGTGATATCTTGAGCTCATGCACTCCGCAGGTGCCTCTCCTGATGGATTTTGATTCAGCTTACATGCAAGCTGGCTCCTCACTACTTTTGAACAAGAATCATGAATCAAAAGAATCTTTTAGTAATTTGTTAAATCTGCCACATGGTCCAGGGTTTGTTTATTTTTAATTTTTTTATTTAAGCTTTTATATACTGTTGGTTAGTGGCAAGCTCTCAGAATGGAGTGCACTACTGAAAGCTCTGCCTTGCACAGGTCTGAAGTGGGCTTGCTTTGCAATTGACGAGAACTGGCTTTAAATCATCAGTTCTGGTTCAGATATAGCAAGCCAGCATTGGGTAACAAGAAATCCAAATCTGGAATTGTGCAGGGGGAGGGGGAGCCTGCAGGTATGGGGCTTCACTTGAGCTTATCCTAGCTTGTGCTTGTAGCATTAAATCCTGGCTTAGTGTGGTGGGCAAAGCATGCCTGTATCTGAACCAGCTCAGAAAGTACTGATCACAGACCCAAAATGAAATGGTCTCTGTATTTTACCCTTCCCAAGCTGCTCCCCTCCAGGTTGTCTGGACTGCAGCTCCCGTTATCCTCAGCATGCAGCGATCAATGCCAGTGGGAGCTGTAGTCCCAAATGAAAGGTGGGCAACAGGCTGGGGGAGGCAGCTGCAGTAATATGCACCTTTTGGTTTCAGGTGGGAGGCACGAGTGCTGCAGCTAATGCCTTGACAAGACTGCTGGGCAAGGCAGAGATAAGCCTGAACTCTAAATCTGTGCATGCGTCCGATATCCCGGATGGCACAGTAGAGGTGCTCTTTCAGAACTGGGTTTATGGCAAGATTGCTTGTAAAAACGCAGGCCTGGATGCATCCATGTATTTAGCCGGAAGCTGTACTGCAATCCGATCTCTTGCAGTGGTTTCTGAGAGAGCAGCTGAGTTTGCATGTTGCAGAAAAGTGTGGTTGGCACAGGGCAAGCCAAAAAGAGCCTGGACCGCAGTGCACGCTTCCCCTCGCCTCACGTGGCTGGCCGGAGGGTTTCAGGAGCTCTGCCTCTCTTTTTGAGTACCTGCGGTTCGGCCTGTTGTCTACAATGACAAGAAGTGGTCAGCCTGCACTAGGGCTGTTTCAACTAAGCCCACTAAAAACCCTGGTTTTGAAAGCTAGCTTGTTAATTCGCTTCCCTTGATGACGATGATCACAGCTTTGGGTCCAGATGACATGGCAAACCCTGCTTAGCCGAAGGCTGAAGTGTAAGCTGCTGAGCTCCTCCCGGCACCTCAGGAGCAGTCCAGAGAGTGGGGGGCAAGTGAGCCCAAGTTACCAGGCCATGCTTAAGCCTGACAACAAACAGGGCCAGCGGCTTTGAAGTTGCTTTTGGCCATAGAATGCAGATCTTTTCTTTTCTGGGTTTATGTAACCTAGTCTGCATTTGGCTATTCCAGAGGCACATACATTTTGAATGTTTTGCTACCCAGTGCCCTTAAGAGATGCACCTGGTTGCCATCTGTGTAAAGGTACAGAATTTTATTTGGAGGGTTAAGCAGGGTTGCATAGCGGGAGGGAGGGAGGGAGGGAGGGAGGTAGATAGAGGGTAGTTTTAAAAGGTGCCTCCCTTTATTTGAGTAACAGACTTGTTTCAAATATGTTTTTAGTACAAAAAATGGTATGTATCTTTTTAGGACAGGCATTGCACCCCCATCTCTTTGAGTACACAGGTGGGAAGTGTCCCTTCTTAAATTGTACCTACTATGGCATTTGTTATTTAAAACAGAAATAGCTCCAGCACTCTCTTTTTGAAGCGGGAAAGAATGTCCACTTACACAAGGCAGCCCCACTGATTGTTTTAGGCTTCCTTTCCTGTTGGGAGTGAGCAGGTTGGCTGCTTTGGGCACTTGATCTCAAGGACCCCTGGCTGGGATTCGTCAGAGTCAGAACGTGAAGCAGAATGGGAGGGACCTTGGGAGTCTGGGTCAGGCAAGGCACTTATCACAGGGCCAGTCTCCCCAGCAGCACAGGCAGTTCCTGGGGATAGCCAAGATACACAGCTGAAGGGAGGTGGCCCTGAGCACGGGAGTTTCTCAGACACAGACCAGGCAGCCCCAGCTCTTGACCTGATGATGCGGTCAGCAGAGGAGGGTGGCCCGAAGGGATGGGGCCAGGGCATGCTCATAAGGAGGGTTCCTGGAGGTGAATATCTGACTGGGTTCAACAACCCGCTCTGTGCATGCCCAGAGATTCATCCTGGGCAATTTGTGCATTTTGTCAATAACAAATGCTTTGCAAGGAAAATGGTCTGTGGCTTTTGAATGCACGTAGAAGGAACGTCAACTCATGACATGTCCCCATCCTGCCGTAGCCCCCATGAGGCATTCCTCACTGCTCCAGGAGAGACTCCGGGGGCTGTGCGTTAGCGATGAGGGACCAGAAAGGCTCTGTTATGCCAGCAAGAGTTCTGCTCAGTCTTCTGCACACTGGGTCGATACAGAGTGACTTATTTTCTTCAGGATTATTGTTTATTCCTCCACAAATGGATGTAGATTTAATTACTCAATCGACCGAAGCCTGTACAGTTAATTAACACAGATTTATTCCTTATTTCTTTCTAATGTGTAGGAGTGTCATGGCTGTCACTGAGTTGCTGTTTTCTGTTTGTGGATATGCCAGGGCAGAAAAAAAATGTTTTTATTTGTTGACTGCTGTATTCCATTGTGGTTCATGGAGGGATGTTTATGTGTGTGCGCGCACATAATATGCTTAAAAAATATCTTGTGTTCAGAAGAAACTGCATTTCAGGCTCTGAAGGGAAATAAACAAGGTCTAATGGGTTGCATCCTGGTTGGATGGAAGCTGCTCATCCCAGAGCCTTTGGTGTACCCAGTGCCCTGCCAGACTGTTACTGGGAGTGTGCAAAGGAGGTGCAAGTGGTTTTTGCCTCTCTGTGTTCCTTTTAAATATCTTCCTTTAGTCAGGGCTGTGATCACTGGAGGAGTAGTGCTGGAGGGGCCATTGGATTGCTCACCTTCTGGCCCCTCTTGTCTTCTCTCCATCTACTGGAACTCGTCTCAATTTGACGCCCCCTTGTGACTTCAGGAAGCAGCTGGGATGGTGGCTTCCGCAGTGGTTGCCAGGTAGAGCGGGGCTGGAAATCTGAGCCCCGCTCCCAAGATGATGGCAGTGTTGCAGCCTCAGCGCCATGGGATGCTCAGTCCTGGGGAACAGAGCTACTTCCTCTGAATTTGTTTAGTTGGCAGCCTTTTACAAACTGTTGCTGTTGCGTGGCTGCATGTAGGAATGCGAAAGAGGTTCACGCAGACCCAGGGTGGTAGAGGCAGCAATGGTCTCCAGAGACTAAGCATACCTGCATTTGACCTTGACAGGAACCATGGCAGTGCCAATGGTTTTCATTGATATACCGTGTATATGTAAAGCTATTTTATCCTGTTGTTTCTTTTGAATTATTAGGTTCGTGATGCAGCAATAAATAGCCTAGTAGAAATCTACAGACATGTAGGTGAACGTGTAAGAGCTGATCTCAGCAAGAAAGGATTGCCACAGTCTCGGTGAGTGAAGAGTTTCTCTTTTGGATTTTTTGGTTTAGTTTTCGGGTCCACTTTCCTTTTTTCTCTTGCTGAATCAAAGCATCTGATGAATTTCTCACATTGCTTCTTATTGGCAGCATGTTTTGACTAGTCAGACCCTGAAACTCATCATATCTAGCATTCAAAAACCTGCAGCAGATCTTGATTATGAGGCTTTGGTTAAGCACAGTTGGTACCTTATCTGCTTTATCTGGTAGCCTTAGAATGGGTGAGTTCACATGCCATGGCAACCCATCCTGCAAATAAATATGCCATGTGGGTTATTGGTGAAGTAACCCAGACTGGGACTGACAGACAGCCAAGCTCACTGTGGGTTATTTCACCCTCTCCTTCCCGCTCAGTCCTCTCATGGGCATCCTAGGGAATTCTCTGATAGGACCCATCTTGTCAGCTCTCCACACACTGACTATGGCCTCCTTTGCAGTTGCTGCGGCTTCCCCCTTCTGTCCCTCCCTCCCTCCCTCCCTTTCTTTTTTCAGAGTACCCAAGGATTGCTTCCCAGGAAGTTCCTGTAGGTTTTTGGTTTGCTCCTTTGTTGGACCAGCTTGTTCTCAGTATCTTCCACCTTTTCAACTCTTCCTGAGATTCTAAGCACATCAAAAAATGGGAAATTACAAGCCACTTCATTTATGGGGGTGCAAAGTTTTGATAGCTCAGGCTTCCTTTTAAAAAGTGTTTTTGACAGGGCTGATTGGGGGTTTTTTGATTGGAACATACGTGGCATGACATCTGTAGTTGGTATGGAGGAGGATTGCTGGAGTGGCTGTCGCTGGAGGTGGGCTGGGTAAGCTCAGTGCTTCCCTGCAGCTACAGCAGAGTTGCTTCTTCTGGGTTTGGATGACACACGAAGCCAACACCTGCAACAAACCATGGGTTATCAGGGTGGTCGTGGCCCACAAATGAGCAGCCTGTGATTCAGACAACATGCTAATACACCATGATGGGTTGCTGAGTCCTGAGAACTCAGTCACTAAAATGGGCTTGGAAATAATCAGACGTGAAAATCTGACGTACTGTGAGATATTGTGAGAGCCAGTGTGGTGGAGTGGTTAAGAGCGAGGGACTGGGACTCAGGCAATCGGGGTTCCATTTGGGCATGTAGCCAACTGAGTGACTTGGGGCCAGTCACAGACTCTCAACCCAACCTACCTCACAGGGTTGTTGTTGTCGGGATAACATTGAGAGCAGGAGGATGTGAGCCGTTTTGAGTTTGTTGTACTCACAAAAAGTGGGATATAAATCTAATAAATATTCTTCTATATATGACTCTTCTAAAAGAGGAAAGCTAAGATTAAAGAATGCACTAAACTTTGTCTGTGATGATGGACTTCGTAGTTTTCAGGGTTGTTTCTTTTTTATTACTCACTGAACATAACTAACTAATAAAAGAATCCTGGTGAAGGAAGAAGTTGCTTAGGCCATGGAGTCCAACCCCCTGCCCAGTGCAGAAATCCGGTTTAAAGTATCCCTGACAGATGGTTGTCCAGTCTTTGCTTGAATACCTCCAGCAACAGAGAACTTACCAGCATCATAGGCAGTTGGTTCCATTGTCTGACTCTCCTGACAATTAGGATCTTTTCCAGATGTTCCACCCAAATCTGCCTTCCTGTAACCTAAGTCCTGTAACCTTATTTCATGTTCTGCAATCCTGGATGCCAAAGAACAGGCTGAGGCTCTCCTCTGTATGACAGCCCTTTGGCTACCTGAAAAATGCCACCATGTTTTCCCTGCCCCAAACTGTGCTTTGTTTGTTTTATCCTCCTTCAAGGCCAAATACGCCCAGTTCTTTCAGCCATTTCTCACAGCTCTTAGTTTTACTTTCTCTCTTCATGCTCGCTCGCCTTTTCTGAACTTGTGCCAAGTTATCCAAATCCTCCTTAAAGAGGACACAGTGGTGGACAAAAAGGGGGCAGGTTTGGAAGGGTCTATCTCTTTCCCATTAAAAGCATAGGCACAAAGATGCTTGTGCGACGTCAGTGAAATTTGGCTGAAGTGTGTATTCTCAGAAGTTTTGGAGTTCTGACTTTTCCACTTTTATCTTCCCTCTTTCAAATCAGGTTGAACATAATTTTTACAAAATTTGATGAGGTCCAGAAATCAGGAACTATGATCCAAGGATCAGGTGGTAAGTAGAACTGTTGTTACACTTACTTGTTTCCAACAGGACAGTAATGCAGCTAATTTTCCTATATTGATTTTTTTTCATTAAAACATAGATGTCATGATTTCCTAATCCAATAATTTACCAGGTAGGTGAACCTGGCATTTAACTAGATGGCCTGGATTGCATGTTATGGGTACCCAACATTTGCTCAAATTCTGGGTTACTGTGAATGAGCAAGTCTGCTGTCTGCTGGTTGCTCACCTTCTGCTGAGCTAAGCAACATTTATCAGAATGTCTGAACATGGAATTGTGGATTGTTGGGAAGAGCCCAGACTTACAATCCATAGTTTGTTCTTGAGGCGTGTTCATAACAACCTATTTCACAGACTACAGGTTGTTGTATGGTGTGAACTGAGTTACTTAGTTACTTCATGGTTTGTAATGACATTGTGAACTGTAGTTTGCTGTTATATCTAAAATGGCAAATAGCTGTTTGTGCTTGTCCTGCAACCCAGGGTCAATTGGTTGCTGATTAGGTCTATAGCATCTTAGCTTCAATAAGTCTGTGGCATCAGGTCATCTCAAACTCTGCTCTAGGCCCACAACTGTTTATTGTTAAGGAAAGCTTAAGTTAAAAATAAGCTGAGGCTCTACTTTCTTGGGAAGTGTGGCCTTGTGAAATTTATAAAAAAAAGGTTATTTGCTTGCTTACTTAGAATTAGATCATGCCACTACTAGTTCCCTTTGTGTTCTAGCTGAGGGGCATGAATAGAGGTAATGCTAGCATGGCACAATAGTTAGAATGCTGGGTTAGAACTTGGGAGATCCAGGTTCTTTCCCTCTCCCAGCCATAAAGCTTGCTGGGTGACTTTGGGCCAGTTGCTGACTCAGCCTAACCTGCCTCTCAGGATGTTGTAGTGAAGATAACATGGAGAGGAAGAGAATTAGGTAAGCTGTCTTGAGTTCTGTGCAGGAAAAATTGTGGGATACAGATACACACACATGGCATCTAAATATGGCAATTAAGAGACTCTCCAGGTGGTGCCAAATATGATCCAGATTTATGTACATGAGATCCTTATTCTGGGCTTGGTACATATAGCTAAGATCTATAGGTTTCAGTCCCTAGAACACTAAGTCTGAATTACTTCTCTGAAGTGTGTCAAGACAGCAAAATGCTTTGTGGAGAAGGAAGAGGAGGTCAGGACTGTCTTTCCTCTCTTCCCCAACCCAAGCTTCCTGAATCCAGGAAGCTAACTGAGAGCCCAAGTGCATCAATCACACCTCTGTAGGAGATGCCCAGCTCAAGCACAGAGACAGAAGTGAAGGCATTTGTCCTCTGTGAGGGGTGTCAGAAGGTGAGGATGGACTTACATATCCTGCCCTCCACAAGTTCCAAAGTCCTCATGTCCTGGTCTCAGTGGATAAATCTGCAAGATGCATTTCTCTCCTTGGCTCAGTGTGGTCAGTGTCCTCTGATAGCATTGAGGCCTGTTAACTTCTCTCCTTTGTCCCTGAAGCCATCTGAGTGAACGAATCCTTTTGGCTCAGGAAACATAATTGTCTAAACCCATTTTTAAAATCTTGCTTCCGACTGTGAAGGATGTTACAGCTTAAAGAATCATTTGGAGCTCCCAAACTACATCCCTCCCCATAACTTTCTTCCCCTGCCCAACCATCTCACTGGAACTCTTTTCAAAACACCTGCCATGGACGTGGGTTGTCTGCTAGACTGCAGATATTCCTTCCTACCCCTTATATGCAGCTTTTTGGATGAGCTCCTAGACCAGCGGGAGCAACCCTCTTGTATGGTTATAGGATGTGATGATGGTGCTAGTCAGGAAGAAAAACTTAGCACGTTCGGCCATGCTCCAGCCCTGTTTGACATCAATGGGAAGAGTTGACTGTCACTTGAAAAGCATCTAATATATTTCAAGGCACTGTACAGATAGTGAAAAGCGAAACCCTGCCTTTTTGTGGGTTCACACAATGCAAAGCAAAAGGGAAGGGATAAGAAAAGCAAGGAACAACTAAAATAAACCACTTTTTAAAGTCATAGTGACTGAGATGCCATTTTTTAAAAAAAAGGTCTTGAAGGTTTTTTTTTAAGTTATAAGAATTAAGTTTTAAGAATTACTGCTAAGGGAGGAAATTTGCTTATTAAAATGTGCGTCTAACTGTGGTTAGATTACGCCAAAGGGTAGCTTTGAGTGAATTTTCATTTTGAAATTATTTGCTTTTTATCAATGTAGAGCAAACCCCTGCCAACCTTTGTGTGGGTGTATTTTCTAACATAAATATATTTCTCCTTAGCAGCAGGGAGCCTGTAATTATTAGGCTGTTCGCCCTGCATTGCTGTTACTGTTCATGCCGTTTACAACCAAACTGGATATAGCAGCAAGGGCTGCTTTTCTTCTATGAAAGAATGTGGTCAGATTTTAAGCTGAGTAAGAGAGCAGCTATATGACTGAGAGTTCACTGCTTTTGTTTGCATCCATTTCCTTGGCATAGTTTAGGGGTTCTAATTTGGAAAGGACCAAAGTAGGTTTGTCTTCATTTTAGCTAATTTTCCAATAAGTTTGTAGTACCATTTGATGGAATCTCTGAACATTCATAGCATGTGTAATAAATGGTGCCATCATGATTATTCCTTGGAAGCTGCTTTGGTGGTGACCAAAATGGAAAAGTCAAACAGAGCAGTTCTTAAATGTGTGGAGCAAAAGGCACTTAGCTCAAATAATTTTTATTCTGAGCAGCAGAAATATTCAGACTTTCAGATTTATAAACTGGCTGTGCTTCTGTTATAACTATCTAAAAGCAATAGGCCCCATAATCTTTGCAGCTGCAATAGCCAAGACATCTCATACTTGCTTCTCCTGTGAGCCACTGTTTATGCTGTGGCAGTTTAATTTGCTGCAGCATAGGAAAAAGAGCTTTGCAAAGTAATTTGAGCTTGACCTTCTAAATCTCTCAGTGCAAATAGGGTTGCTGTTTTTTTTGCTTTATAAAGTGATATATTTGCCATTAGGCACAGTTCCTGACTTTCGAGGGTCAGCTTAGGACAACCTTCCCCAGCTTGGAACTCTCCAGATGTTCCTGCTGCAACTCCTAGCATCTCTGACCATTGGGCATGCTGGTTGGGCTGATGTATGTTGCAGTCAGAAACATCTGGAGGACACAAGGCTGGGGAAGGCTGACTAAGAATCTTCAGGCCACCATGACACGGGAGCCCATTTGGCAGCATAGCTGGCTTGATACATTCTTCAGTGCTAAGAAAAGCGTTAAATAAATAAAACATGACAGATACACTGAGCATGAGGTTTTCTGCTTTCTGGAAGCAGGTGCTTCACTTATAGGAGGAGAATATCTGTTCATGGTTGAATTGTTACTTCTGGGTATATTGATCCTTAGGCTCTTACATTCCTATTAGAATAGTTGGGCCAGGTGGATTGCTTCAACCCGGTTGCTTATATATCCATGTGAGTTAAGAAGAACTCAGTCGGGATTTCTCTGGTGACATTTAATGGCTGACTTGAGTAAAAGTGTTCTTCCTTTTATTTGTATATTTTGTGTGTGTGTGTGTGTGTGTGTGTGTGTGTGTGAGCCTGAGGAATAAACTGGCAAAGTTGTCAGATTGTAGGAGATGTCATGGTAAATATCTCCTTTTTCTGTAGTGCTTATTGAATTGAATCAAATTTATGCAGTGTTGGTGGTTTGTAAATTAAGGAGATACTGTCTTGACAAAAGAAAGTTCACCCCTTTACAAATTTAAGCAATAAGTTCATCTGAAAAGAACAGCAGTGAATTTTTGTGAAGAATTCCTGATGAAGGTTTTCAGTGGCCATATCCAAGAAAGCAGCTGGAACAGAAAGTAGTTATAGACCGGCACAGGCCTGTACAGAATGTCAGTTTTCCAGAAGCAGCATTTGAAAGAAAAGCAAGTTTTCTTTTTCCCAGTCGTTCCTGATGGGATGTTACCACTGCCGGACTGGCTAGTATTCAGTGACTATAACATCCTGGAAGCAATGCTTCTAGTGAATAGAGTGGAACCAATTGTGTGGGGCAGAGATAAGCCCTATCTGGTGACTCCAAGCCAAAACCAACTAAACAAGAATGATATGTACACACACCCGCATGCACACATAGACCAGTGTGGGGAGAACAACACTATCTAGGAACAGGCTCTTTTGTCCCTGCTGCTGAGGCCTTGCTTAGAGCATCCATCAAACCGCTCTAGAAGGCTTCTGCCTGCTTCGTAGGACACTATAGCAATGGGGCTTCTGTGACAAGAACTTTAGGGCCACATTTCTAGAACATGTTTCCCTTTTCCTTGCAGTGTTCCCCCCTGATCCCCCCCTCCGAAAGGTCATGGTAACAGAGTGTGGGATGTCAGTGTCCTTCAGCAAGGGGATGGATTAGGGAAAGGGGAACAGCAAGGAGCCAGCATTTCTGGAAGCGGGAACTGATGTTTCTGGAAGAAGTGTTGGTTCATCTGATCGAAGCAGATGCTAGACCTCTTGGTCAGGAGCTGGATTTCCATGGCATATATCTGTCTAAGAATAGTTTGTTTTTGCATGACTGAAGGTGCGGTTCCTGTCATTCCAGCAGATTGTGGGGGGCAAAAAGGTCTGAATGTGGGAAGATGGATAGTAGTCTTTGCTGTGGTTTGAGTCTCTGATTTTGTGTAAGTAGTTTTGTTGTCAATCTGCCTACATTATTGTAAACCATTCCTGCTCCTGAAATAGATGAATCAGTGGATCTTTAACTGTGAGGGTTTCTCCACTTTCCTGCCCCCTTCATTACCATGCATCAGCATTTCCCTCAATCTTAAGAAATAGCAGCTTTAAGATTCTTATCCATGGGGGCTTTGTTTTTAAGCTTTAATACTATTATAAATAAAATGCCAGTTGGAGGGGGCAAATTGCAAATTTAAAGTGGGCTTTACTTTATATAACAGGAAGGAGGATTTTATCTTGTGGGTAGGCAGCTAGTTGCTAGGTTACAGGAAGGACTTTTTAGTG